ACACCACGCGCTCACTTGCATAGCATCTACCCACGATAATTTTGGGTCTTGGCAACCATGAAGCTGCAGAACAAGTCTCTAGCGACCAATGCCCGACCGCGGCGTTCGCGAGCCTCCGAAGAGCACCCCGCAAGACAAAACGAACCTGTGGCTTCGAGTGGCGACGGCGGCCTTGGGGAAGGTGAATGGTATGTGATGCACCTTGTGTAGGCGTTGTATGTTGGTAGCTAAGACAGTTCTAGGTACAATGTCGAAAAGATAAAGAGCCATAGGATTAATAAAGAGGTTAGCGCTTGTGTAATCTGCGACGCGATCACATCTCTCAACTTAGTTTCGTAGAGAAAACTGGAGCTTCGGGTCAAATGGGAAGGCTATGATCGCAAGAAAGATCTAACATGGGAACCGGAGGAGAGTCTGCGGTGAGTATGAGAGGGTCAACAAGCGCGTCATTCTGTTTCCTTACTAACACTCACGAGGGAATCCGTGCCTGAAATTGTCCAGGCGTATTTTGTCTCGATTGGCGGACGACAGGAAGTGCATACACAGGGGAGGACAGCGTCTAAGAGAAAGAGTAGACCATCCGTTGCCACGGCCGCAAGAGACACGAAGTCAGTGACGCGACAAAGTGACGCGACAAGAGAACGGCACAAATCCTCCTGAGACAGCTCGTTCCTTTGCAACAATGTCATGGAAACCGCCTGTTGGCTCATGGGAGGACGAAATTGATAGAGTCGATGCTTGCGAGAGAGAGAGCGACGGAAGGCTTGTCGTCTACCTTGTTTGGAAGAACGGTAGGAAAACCAGACACAAGACGTCCGTCATTTACCAGAAATGTCCGCAGAAGGTATATGTTGCGCAGAGGAGGCAAGAATGTTAAGACTTTTGGATGCTAATGCTGGATCAGATGCTACAGTTCTACGAGAAACACGTCAAGATTGTCAAGGACGAACATTAGCTGCGATTGAACTACCACGCAAGATACCTGGCCATTTGCAGGAGGCTTATTCGGGCCGAATCGGAACAAAATAGTAGCGAAAAATATTATTCCATGCATCAGAATCGGACGAGCAATGGATATCCGGAGGCGACATCGCGCCGCAAGACGCCAGGTTTGAGAAATGCACATTGCAGAAGACCATTTATGCCATGCGACATGACCGACATAACGCAAAAGCGAATTCCGTCATCTCACAACAGACGAAGCTGACGCGGACATGAGCCGGCCAGTTTTTCGCGTTGGCTCCCTGCAGGCTGTCCCCTCCATCACCACGATGCCGTTGGCCTAAATATCCTAAATAAGTCGAGTCAGGCGAGTCAGCATGCCTCCCGGGTCGTGTCTATTCGTAGGTGACATCGAGTACGAAGAATTGCACTCACCGGCTCCAGATTTCAGTATTTCCGCAGTCGAGCAGCCTCGGTCACAAGAGCCGGCCTCCAGTTCCTCCACCTCGTCCGCGTCCACGCGCCCGTCGCGGCCGAAGAAACATAAACTGCGCACGCCAGAAACCTGGAAGCACTTTTGTATCCCTCAAGGAGATGAGGATATGCACTAGAATAGTCAGAGACTTTGATATTGCCAGCTTTGCCTTAACCCGCCATGGCGGACTGTCTCGACCAGCATCGGGAAACGGCATATGCGAACTGGACACGGTATTGTCATCGATGACGAAGCGCGGCCCGCCAAGAAGGCACTTCAACAGTCTCTCGAGGTGGCATTCACACGTGCCGAGGAGAAGAATCGAGAACTATTGTCTTGTGGCGAACAATCAATCCTGCGGAATACGATCAAACTTGACGCATTCTATGAAGCACAAATCCAGCTCACCACGCGTCGCCGTCTGCCACTTAACTGTATCTCCTGGCCAGAATACCAAGCGCTTCTTTGCGCAGTGAACCCTAGGGCTGACGAGATCCTCATCCAATCTGGCACTGCGGTATTGGCCCATATTGAGAGGCCGTACGCACTACACCGCGAAAACACCACTGGGCTGCTCGGGACGCTTGGGAAGAGGGGAGTTCGTGTCCTTCTCGAAAATGGCGCCGATCATGGAATGAAAGCCAACAACAGTGTCAAACCAGCGATGCATGTAATGATAACTTCACCGCAGTCGAAACAAACAAAATCATATCTCCGTATCGCGAAAGCGTTCGTCTAACACCAGGCCGACGTTAATTGGGAAGACGACCGTACAACAGCCCATAGTAATTTAGAAATGGTCAAGTTCCTCCTTGACAACAACGCCAACACCGAGTCGAAGGGCCGCTGGGGCGGCAGCGGTGGCACACATCTACATGCAGCCGTGAGATACTCCAAGGAAGCTATCGTCAAACTAGCTTGGGAGTCTGTGAAGCCCAGAGTTGGGGTGCAATTTCGTCTATATCGATCAACTTCTTTCTGGTGCGAGTCTTGATCTCGATAGTAGAACTGGGAGGGACGACTTGGCCTCCTCGCTGAATCCTGAGTTTAGACTCGGCAATGCTTGTGTATGAATCATGCCGATTCAAAAACAAATCGCGCAATAGGTTTGTGAGGCTGTCGCTCTCCACTACTTTATGGCCGGTCGCATCCTCCTTTACATAGCCATCTGTTTCATGCCGAACGACGAAACTCATACCACAAAAGCGGAATGATAGAATTCGATGGTGACCCGTGCTGCCACTTACCTCGGCAGCGGCGTAGCGTCGCTCAAATTGGTGGCCGAAATCACGGAAGTCATTGGGCTCAATAACCTCACTAGTAGCCGCTTCTGTTTGGCAAAAGATGGTTGTATTTTGAGTAACCTCGGCGTTGATAGTAAAAGATTCGAGCGTGTAGCTGGACTAATCAGGTTGGACAAATTGGAGCAGCTTGCGGATATTGTTCCGGTCAGTAATGACATCGACAGCGTGGAGATTGAATGTCGGGTGCTCCATGAACAAGGAGCGAAACAGTGGCTCAATCGGGCAGTCTGGATGGCGGGCGGCATTTTGGGCGATGTAGACGAAGCCAGAGTCTTTCTCCAGCTTCTGGGGAACTCTCGGGGGATTCCAGAGTGGTGTAAGGCCAGGTACGATGATTGTTGGCGTCGACCCTTCAATCCAACTATAGGAGGATAGATGTCTGACATCGGTGATTTCGGCCGATTGGCCTAGACCCTCAAGATCCGAGCGAGAGATGTTGACGTTGATTCCAGAAGACATGCTGTCCAGGCCTATCAAAATAACCTACTTGCCGAAAGGAGATATGGGTGATCACCGAATCTAAAGTAGCTGTTGCTAGCTTGGTGCTCTCTCGTGGCTGCTGGTACTCCTCAGTTCCCTACCTCATTTGGAGCCCAGTGTCTGTTATTCAAGCTTCGGTGGTCGCCTTTTCAGAGTCGACCACGTCGAACCCCCCGACTTGGGCACAACACCACCTCGAAGACTGGTGGCGTGGCTAATTGTCTTATTGTGCGCCGCTTTATACAAGCCGGACCCTTGTTGACATATCAGAAGCGAACACATTTGGAACAGAGGACAATCAAGTGAGCTGTAGCCATCGTCTGCCTATCAGCACCCCGATCAACTCAAAGCGCTGTCACATTCCCCGCGCCAGGTGAGAAGCAAACTGCTGATAGCTTGCATGACGTGAGGTATGCTCTACACGCGGTCCTGTGGCGCCAGCATTAGATAGGTTGGTTGCACCGACGTCACCGTCACCTGGACCTGGCAGCTTCACAACTCCCATCATCTGCCCAAGATGTCCTTATTTTCAGAAGGCACTCAGTGAGAACTTCCAGGCATCCTCAGCTCTGTTCCACCTGTTCTGAGCAAGACCTAACACGTAGCGTAGCACTCAACAGCCAGCGCAGTGGAATTGACAGAGAATAAACCCACAATGTTTAAGCACGTAGTCGATTACTTATATAGAGGAGGTAACCGTCACCATCCAAAATGCCGAAAAAACGCGGAATCTTCAGCTTACCATGGCCAGACTGTTGCTGGAAGGAACCTCAGGCCGAACACAGCAATATCTACTTGATTTGCTCGGAATTATGTTTCATTCGCGCTTTTGTGACGGTAATGCACCACCGTTACTTTGGTGCATTACCGTAAAAGCCGAAATACCTGTGTAACGGGCTGAGCCGGTGTGGCTCGGTTTACACTCTCGCCTTCGGCCCTGGCCTGCCGGCCCGGGACACGCCCACAAGCGAAATTACTCACGCATTGAGCTCAGGAGCTCTCCTTTTCTTGGCCTGTTTTCTCTTTCTTCTTTGGCGTTTGGATACTCGTAGTAGTCGCCTGGCTAGTTGTCAATATACTCAGCTTGGATCGTTACATTGAGCGTCGACTATGTAAACAGGTAGCCAGCTCCTCGGGAGCTTCCAGTTCTCCAACTCTGCAAGGCAACCAATTTGTTGGTTTCTAACACGTTTCTGGCTGAATAAGCCCCGTGCCCCTTACATTCTGATCCTGGGCTTCCAACCTCCTCCTTGCCTTAGCACACAAGTCCTCCTGCTGTCAATCCAGGTGCTGGGGCCTGTGCCACTGTTAACATCGTCTCGACGGGAGCAGCGGATTTCTGTGCCCTGCACTGTGTTAACCAGCGACCTACTGATAAGCGTCTTACATCATGGGCAAACCCAGGGTCCACAGAATAATCTTCTTGCAAACAACAATCCAACTTATCCGCCACCTCATCCATTTGGCCGCCTATGTAGTATATAAATACAGCAACCTAACACCACAGCTCTTGCCGCCTTCATCTAGGCCAACTAAAATTCTATTCGGCAGTTCTTATAGTAACCTATACTCTATATGGCAGGATTTGCCTTCGCAATATCACAGCTGCCAGATGCCTCCAATGCCACCGCTTAGACACTCCCCAAAAAGTCGTCTTCGTCTTCCAAGTTTTAGCGAAGTCCCGCGGAGGGACAGGCCCGCTGAATACCTTACCACACGAACCTTTAGTGAAAGCTCATGCGTAAGTAGCTCACCCAAGCCCGTATATGTAGTTTCGACACTCCCCTGTTTTGTAAAACCGCAAAACGGCAGTCCAGAATTGCAGCCCAACCTATCACTCGAATTCACCCCACACACGATCATCCATCACCTGCGATAGCGAGGAACCAGTAGAGTGCTTCGCCAACTTGCCAAAAAAAAAAAAAAAAAAGAAAGAGATTCAATCACGCTGATGCATGCATAACATCGTCAACTCAAAGCGCCGACACCCCTCTTCTACCGCAGGAAGGCCAACCGCGACATCCAACAAGGATCGCCAGCAGCAAGTTAACCAAGCAGTTGGTAGAAATTTCGGCAAATTCGTCAAGCCTAGACTGATTACGCATCTACAGGCAAGGTTTCTGGTGGCCAAATACGTAGCAGCGCATGGTCTCAACAAAACGTCCGCAGCATCTGTTACCCTGTTACTGCATGTATTCCACCCCATCTGTCAAGTTCGCTTAGCCTCTGGGCAATCGTTCGTTCAGAGGCAATATGGTTGGGTATCAGTGCACCTCAGCTTTTCGACACAACCGGTGACGAATGGACTGGGATGGATGCATTTCAACCGACGCAGGTGGCCGGAAGGGGAGAGAAAAGAGGACTGCCGGGCCCGTATAGCCCGTTCTCTCAATACTCTTGAGAAACCTCAAAAACTGAAGAGAGGGTAACTTTCGCCAACAGGCATCCACAGACACTCGCCCTGTCAACCTGCACTACTCATTTATTCGGGGCATGGCACGGCGCGGGATGCACGGGAGGAAGCCGACAGGAAGCACAGACAGAAAGTTGCGGGAGCAGAAATTGTGATCATTTCCTTGAACACACTCGGCTGGAGCAACCAGGTGTGTCCTCCGCTTGGATTGCAACTGGCGCAGACCGCGATTTTTGGGCTCAAATGCAGCCTAAAAGTACTCAATAAATATGTTACTCCAAAATATACACTACATAGTTATGGAAACATGCAGTATATATCCAAATGATCACATATGCGCCTACAAACTGCTTGCAGTCTTCGAGTAAGGACTACACAAAAATCCTTCGAAGTAAATATCTCAATAATGAGCTTTTCTTGGCCTCCTTTTTAGGGAATATCTTTCCAGTCTTAATTGTGTAGCGTCGAAGTTTATTCACACTCTCGAACTTTGGGACTGGGTGACCGGTTCGTCCAGAGTCGATAAAGTCCATGATATTGACATGCGCCTTCTCAATCGCCTGACATAATTCTTAGCCTGCAACGCTACCATTCGTGATTGGCCACATACCTCTTTGCAAGACTTGACTGTTTGAGGAACATGCCCTATATCTAACATGGCTGAGACGCTGCAAAGAGTCCAGGCTATTCTCGTCAGTCCCATACAATTCTGCGAAGTGCTTCACGATTGCCACCCGAAAACACCTCCTAGCGATCTTTTCTCTTTTCTCGTCCCTTTCCCAGCGAAAAAACTGAACCATACGATGGTATTCTTCCCATGCCGCAATATTCCGGTCGTAGTTGAACTTGGGATAGCTGCTGAAATAGGCATCAATCGCGTTTGGAGTCTCCATTTTCATTCAGCTCAAGATCGAGGTGGCGTTTAAAAAAAAAAAAAAAAAAGAGCATAGGCTTGATTCTTATCATGTACTGTGTATGTACATATTAATAGTTGTTCACCAAGTCGTATCAAGGCAATCACGGCTAAAACGATGCCCCTACTGGTAGTAACTAAGGAGCAAGTATCTTGGCATTCTTGATTGGAGGAAAAAGGGAAGTTTAGGACTTGCAATACACTTAAACCTGGTATGCGTGACTTTGTCGTTCCAAAGCAAAAAGAGCCGTCGTGAACAGCGCTCTTACCCTTTACCCCACTCGTGCTACTTCTCTAGTTAGATCCACAACCTACAACTCTTCAAATTTGCCATATGCT